AGACACTCTTAAGAGAAATTAAAGAGGACACTAACAAATGGAAACTCATCCCATGCACTTGGCTAGGAAGAATTAATATCAAAATGGCCATCCTGCCCAAGGCAATATACAGATTCAATGCAATCCCTATCAAATTACCAACAGCATTCTTCAACAAACTGGAACAAATAGTTCAAAAATTCATATGGAACCACCAAAGACCCTGAATGGCCAAAGCAATCCTGAGAAGGATGAATAAAGTGGGGGGGATCTCACTCGCCAACTTCAAGCTCTACTACAAAGCCATAGTAATCAAGACAATTTGGTACTGGCACAAGAACAGACCCACAGACAAGTGGAACAGAATAGAGACTCCAGATATTAACCCAAACATATATGGTCAATTAATATATAATAAAGAAGCCATGGACATACAATGGGGAAATGACAGCCTTTTCAACAGCTGGTGTTGGCAAAACTGGACAGCTACATGTAAGAAACTGGATCACTGTCTAACCCCATACACAAAAGTAAATTCGAAATGGATCCAAAACCTAAATATAAGTCATGAAACCATAAAACTCTTAGAAAAAAACATAGGGAAAAATCTCTTGGACATAAACATGAGCAACTTCTTCATGAACATATCTCCCTGGGCAAGGGAAACAAAAGCAAAAATGAATAAGTGGGACTATATCAAGCTGAAAAGCTTCTGTACAGCAAAGGACACCATCAATAGAACAAAAAAGCATCCTACAGTATGGGAGAATATATTCATAAATGACAGATCCAATAAAGGGTTACATCCAAAATATATAAAGAGCTCACGCACCTCAACAAACAAAAAGCAAATAATCCAATTAAAAAATGGACAGAGGAGCTGAACGAACAGTTCTCCAAAGAAGAAATTCAGATGGCCAACAGACACATGAAAAGATGCCCCACATCGCTAGTCATCAGAGAAATGCAAATTAAAACCATAATGAGATATCACCTCATACCAGTAAGGATCGCCACCATCCAAAAGACAAACAACAACAAATGTTGGCGAGGTTGTGGAGAAAGGGGAACCTTCCTACACTGCTTGTGGGAATGTATGCTTGTTCAACCATTGTGGAAAGCATCATGGAGGTTCCTCAAAAACTCAAAATAGAAATATCATTTGACCCAGGAATTCCACTTCTAGGAATTACCCGAAGAATACAGCAGCCCAATTTGAAAAAGACAGATACACCCCTATGTTTATCACAGCACTATTTACAATAGCCAAGAAATGGAAGCAACTTAAGTGTCCATCAGCTGGTATTGTGAGGGGAAGGGAAAAGATGGACTGGAATGCTGGCAGTACATGAATGGATAAAGAAGATGTGGTAAATATACACAATAGAATACTATTCAGCCATAAGAAGAAAACAGCTCCTACCATTTGCAACAACATAGATGGAGCTAGAGGGTATTATGCTTAGTGAAATAAGCCAGGCGGAGAAAGACAAGTACCAAATGATTTCACTCATCTGTGGAGTATAAGAACAAAGAAAAAACTGAAGGAACAAAACAGCAGCAGACTCACAGAACCCAAGAAGGGGACTAACAGTTACCAGAGGGAAGGGACTGGGAAGGATGGGTGGGAAGGGAAGGATAACGGGGGGCGCAAAAAGAAAGGGGGCATTATGATTAGCATGTATAATGTGGGGAGAGGCACGGGGAGGGCTGTGCAACACAGAGAAGACAAGTAGTGACTCTACAGCATCTTACTACACTGATGGACAGTGACTGTAATGGTGTTTGTTGGGGGGACTTGGTGAAGGGGGCAACCTAGTAAACATAATGTTCCTCATGTAATTGTAGATTAATAATACCAAAAAAAAAAAGAGTAAAGTTTCTCAGATCAAAACCTTGGGAGTCATCCTTGACCCTTCCTTTCTCTTTTAGCCTTGTCCAATCCATTAGCAGCCACATTGGCTCTGCCTTCAAATAGATCCAGAATCTGGTCACTTCTCATCTCAAGTGATTCTATTAAAGTCTTACTAATATTTTTCTGTAATCATAGAAATAATTAGAACTCATTTCTAATTTTAGAGATGGAGAGGAAAGGTAAGACTGAGGTGCTGGAAAGAGTAAAGCTGACTTTGTGATGGGATTTTCAGCAAGATGGTGCAGGAACTTGTGAGGGGAAGGGAAAGATGGACTGGAATGCTGGCAGTTTTTATGAATGAAAATATGTGTTGTGTTTCTGACATCTTCAGTTTCCAGTGTTTTGGAGTCTTATAAGACAGAGTGGGGAGATATGAAGTAGGTAAAGGCTCTGGGAGTTTATGTGAAGGAAGAGAGCATAGGCAAGGGGCTTGGGAGTGCCTTCAGGAAGGAAGCCGGAGCTCAAGAAGCCCAGTGGACAGAGAAATAGGAGGAGTTGGTAGAGCAGTGCTTCCCCGTGTGATCCCAGAAAAGGCTGGGTGCATAGACTGTTAACAGGTATTTCTTTTTTTTTCCAGTGAGTATTTTTTTTTTATTAAGGATCATTGATATACAATCTTATGAAGGCTTCACATAAGGAACATTGTGGTCACTACCTTCACCACTTATGAAGTACCCTCCCATTGCAGTCACTGTCCATCAGCGTAGTAAGATGCTACAGAGTCACTACTTGTCTTCTCTGTGCTGTACTGCCTTCCCCGTGACCCCCCCCTACATTATGTGTGTGTTAACAGGTATTTTCTATACAAAAAATTTCCATAACCAGGTAAGTTTGGTAAACTCTGGATTAAGCAAAGTTAATCAAACTTCTTGCTTTAGAATCTCTTATATTCTTTAATAATTAATATGCATGATTACTTGTATCTTCAACTAAGATCTATCCCTCCAATTATAAATTCATGTATCCAACGTGAATCTGCCTGACATCTCTGTGCTGAATGTCTATTAGATATCTGAAACTTACTGGTACAAAATGAAATTCCTGGTCTTTCCCCACAAAACTTGTTTTCCTATCTCAGTTGATGGCAGCTCCATCTTTTCCTTTTAGTTAAAAAATGCCTTGGTAAGTGGTATATAAATTGTTTAATATATACAGTGCCCAAAGGAATTGAGATTAAAAATAAAATTGCCCAGATCAAAACCTTTGGCATCATCCTTAACCCTTTTTCCCTTTTATGCCCTACTCTAATCCATTGATAACCACATAGGCTCTATACCTTACAATATAACCAGAATCTGATCGCTTCTCATCTCAAGTGATTCTATTAAAATCTTACTGTTTTCACTTAGGGCAAGTACATCAGTCCTCCTGATGGCCTATAAAGCCTGTTATGATCTGCCTTCTCATTGACTCTAATTTAGCATTCGCTTCCTCCTCCACTCTGCTCCTGACTCCAGTCTTTGGTCTTCTAGACCAGGCCTTAAGTGCTTTGTGAGCTTGGGGTTTTTGTGCTCCCTGTTTCCTGTGCCTGTGACATTCCCCTGGCATCTGTCTGCCTAACTCCCAAATGTCATCCTTTCTAGGAGAGGCTTACCCTGACCACCATATTTGAAATAAAGTATGTGCTCCCCACATTTTTCATACCCTTTCCTCTATCTGCTGTACTTTTTTCCCCATTCTACTTTTCATCTAACTTGTTTTTTAATGTACTGTCTGCCTCTTCCTACAAACTTAAGCCCCATGAGTGTAGTAATGTTTGTCTATTTTGTTCACTCATATAGCCCAAGTACCTAGAATAATGCTTGACATACAATAGGCACATAACAAGTATTTGTTGAATGAGTGAATGAATCTTCAAGATGCCAATATATGTCCCTATAACATTCAAGCCCCCGCCTCCTCGTGGAGAGCTTTTTATTCTGGGTTTCCCAGGAACACACCTTGGGAAATTCTGTTATGATGTCTTATGAAATTCAAAAGAAAAGAAAATTCCAAGAAAGGTGAGATTGACACAACTGGGAAGTTGAAGAAATTTTGACCTGCTTAAACCGAGTAGATTTAGATAGGAGACAGAGTTTGTATTATTTAAATACATTGTTATAGTGCCATGAAATGTCAAATGCAAGGGAATAAACCTGTACCTAGATGTTGAAGAAGAAAACTCGGATAAATATCCATTCAGGGAGTTTAGCTTTGAAAGAAGGGGAGGAAAGTGGTTAGAACGAGTTGCAGGTTCAGCACGCGGTGATCAGGGAAGCTGGTTTTGCCACCTGTTATTTTCATAAGGTAACCTAGAATACTATGCTGACATAATTTTTTTTTTAGTTATATTGTAATAAAAAGGTGATAAAGCATCCTATTTTTCAAAGTAGTATAATTTGGTGGGTTCTGTGCTGTATGGAACTAGATAAAAGGGGATCCTTAAATTGCTCTCATGAGTTCTCTGCCTCCACTTCATCAGCTTGCCTTCTTCCGTCTTTTTTGCATGCTTTTTTTTTTTTTGAGAGCCTACTAGGAATAAGAGGTGTGGTAGAAATATTAAAAGTTGGAGCTAATTGCTCGTTCTTTTAGGAGACAGGCAATCTGTTTTGATGTGTGAGTTTCCAGGTGATTTCTGTACTTCCTTACAAAAGCTTACCTAGTCTTTACACTTGTCACTAGCAGTTGGATTAGTGCATAAATGAAGCCTGTACCAAAGTGACGTGTAATATAAACAATTTTGTGAAAGTTTGATTCTTTCTCCCTTAGAGATTTTGATCCATAAAACAGTTTCTATTTCATATGTGGCTGAACTTTTAAAATCATGTTATTTAGGCTTCAACTCCTGGATTTTTTTGGTTTCTATAGTGTGAATTTATCTGTTTCAGGATTAGCTGTAATGGGAAAACCAAGAGCGGTTGGACATATTTAGTTTATTTATTGGTCATGGCATTTGAGGGCTGAGGTTGTTGACAGTGAAGGGCATGCCAGTAATTACTCTGCAGAGCCCTGTGCTTTATTTCCGTTGTTGTCTTTGGAATGAATTACTTCCATGTTATTTGAGGAATAATTGGTTTGAACTCCTTTTCCGGAATAACAAATATTCTTTTGTTTTGGTTACAGAATCTTCATACATACATGAAAGAAGCAGACATGTCGGATGATATCAGGAAAAGGTTTGAATTTCCAAATTCTCTTATCCAATCACAGGTAATTTTACTTATTTAATTATTTTTTGTTCATGGTAACAGATGAACCTTTTTGGTGGATTGTTATTTGAACTTTCCTTTTTTAACATTAATATTCATTCTTCCATATATAGATATGTTAACTTTTTTATGAGTTAATTTGAAAATCTGTATTTGACATAGGAAAGTAGGTATTTGAAATTTACCAATCTCAGCTTCTACTTATCACACTTTTTCTTCTTAGAGATAATAAACCTTGATTAACCAGGAGGCCTCTGAATATATATTTTTTGAGCCTGTAATTATTGGAAACAGAAGTAAATGGTTATACATCTACAGGGTATAAAAGAGTAATATTTAAAAAGGTATATTTTAATCCCTGTACAACTACTAAGAATTGTAGATTTTTATAGTAATGATATTCAGCAAGCAAAATATCCTAGATTTAAAAAATTGATCTATATGTCAACTTAGGTAGGAGATTGTGATCATTTATTATTTTAGAGAGCTTTTCATTTATTAGGGTTAAAACAAAAAAGGGTTTTCTGGTAACCTTCAGCTAACTAGAAGCATTCTGGCTTATCAAGTACCATAATAGTTGACTGTCTTTTCTTGTGAGAGCAAAGCTAAGAGACCAGCAGAAGCCTGCCTGAAGACTTTACAACATCCAGTATCTTATGACTTATTAACTTCGGAGATGCCTGCTGTGGGAATTGACTTAGCTGGGTAGTGGGGAACCCTTCCATGAGGAGTAGAACACTCCTTATGCAAGATTCCCTTCTACCTGACTGGGTTGGAGTCATGTCCTGTGCAGCACAGGTCCTTACTGTGAAGAAGATGAAGGCGTGGAGGATACCATCCACAATTTTTATGTTTCTGTGCCCGGCTTCCCTTCATTAACATACATAATCAAGAAATGCCTATATGTGTTACTTTTAAATTAAGAGAAAAGTATATATCTATTGTTTAGTGTAGGATGTCTATTTAAGCTATTCTGTTAAGGAAAACTTTAGCAATTTAGGTTGATTTATCCTTAGATTTTTGTATTTTAAAATCAATTTTGGCTATATTCTCTGCTTTGTTAAAAGGATAAACTGAAAGGCAAATTAGAAAAATTGAACCTGGTGGGTATTGGGGGGGGATGTGTACCATTAAACTTCTTTTCTTTCTGTCCTTTTCTAAATGTGAATGGTAGCTTTTTGTCCTTGTTGTGTTTCATATTGGCTTTATTTGGTTCTTGCAACTGTGGCCTGTTCTCTGTGACTACTTCTTACTGTTATTTTGTAATCACTGTTCAGTGTTAGCACCACATTTCATTGATTTACATTTTTATATTTCACATTTTAACATTTCTCAAATTGGGTTGCATCTAATAACTGATGGCAGCAGTCATTATATACTTGGTATTGCCTGCACATTTGTGAACTTAGTCATGATTTTCTAAATGAGTCATAAAGAACACTTTCATTAATAGAAAATAAAAATTCTAAATTATAATGAGTATTGTATAACATGGATTAATTGACAGTCTTTTTTTTTTCTTTGTGGTACATAAGATAATGGTCCATCTTGCAGGTGGTGGCCAATTACATTCAATGAAATATGGTATATTTTGTAAATGGGAACCAAAACTGTTCACTGGTCCTCAATTCTTGTTATCCCTTTAACCAGAAGGTAAGGGACAGTGAATTGATCTAAAGTTAATATTTATGTAAATAAGTGACTTGTATTGCAAAACAAGCCATCAAGCATTGACATCTTAAATCATTTCCAATGTGTGAAGCATGAAAGAAATGGAGTGGGTGCTGTGTTTTATTTGAGCTTTTCTGGAGATTTTGCAAGACTTACAGGTGTTCATAGCTATATCATGCATTGGTCCCAAGGCCTGATCAATTGTGCAGTTGCAAACTTTTCCCCAGCCTGTATACAGAATGGCTGTCATTATTGCTAGCCTATACCTCCAAGACAGCAGTGCTGGGTAGTGCTGAAGAACTAGGAGAATGGAGGTGAATGGTAGGCAATAATGGTATTTATCTATTTATGTGATCAATACTCCTATGAGAGTCTTAGATTTTGTTTTTGGCTTTTTGACCAGAGCATAATATAGAAAAACTTCTGAGATTTATGAGACTGAAAGCTTATTAAAGGACTAAAACCCATCTGAAATAATAAAGATATTAAATCATAGAGACTACAGGAGGGAGAATGTTTGAGGTTAGGGGAGACATATTGGTTCAGATCTGTTTGGACCATAGTCATAAAGATGGGGGTGAGTTTTCTCCATCATCATTATCGGCATGATGAAGCATAATGGATTTCATTTAGATGCAAAAAGATGATGTAGAGTTCTCATTTGTCTCATGGTTTAATGGATTAAACAACCTTAAGTTATCATCTAAATGATAGCAATTTGAACTGAAAATCTAGCATCTTGACATCTATGAACTATAGTTTACTTATTGGGGATAAACACTGGGATAAAAATGCTTGTCTTGAGGGTTGTGATGAAGATAAGAAATTATGTATATGGTCTTAATTCAGTGCTTTCTATATAATGCACACTCAATGAATGAGAATTTTATTACTAGTTAAACGGTGTGGTATAATCATCCTCCTATCAACTATCATTGATATTAGTTACTTCCAAATGCCCTATTTGGAGAAATCTTCTGAAGGAATGTATTCATTAATTTTTGTTGTTGTTGTTCTTTTTTTAGGCTGTGGGTCGTCTTATTGCTGCAGTCCTAAAGGAAAATGGTCTTTCAGAAAAGATCCACCAATCCACAAACCAGGTCTGTGTATAACTTTGTCCTTTAGTTCTACTTAGATATTACTACCAGCTGGACCACATATGCATTTCCTTTGTTTCTTCCACAGTTTAAAACATTGCAGAAAAAATTTTTTTTTGGTTTGCCATGATTTTCCTTCAAATCCTTTTAAATGCTTAAGTTTGTTACAACAGACTCCAGGAATGAAATATAGAGGGGGTTAAAGGGAGTATTCTTATGACTACTAATGGATGGATGGAATGTGAGTAGGCATGCTTTAGAGAAGGTTGATAGGGTTACCTCTCAGGGAATATTTTTATTTATTAGAGAAGGTGAACATAATGGCTTTGGGTGTAGGAGATTTCTCATGCTTTAGGTAGCCCCAAATGTGAGTTCTAAGTTGGAAATTTCACGTGTTGATAGTTGGAGGTGGAGGAAGATTTCTTCCACTCACAGGGCAGGTAAATGCCATGAGTTGAAGCAATGTCAGCTAACTGAGATTTATACCACTTCGGTTTTGGTTGATCAGTGTTGTATATTTTGATATGCTGTTTGAAAACTCTGCTTAAGTAGGTGCTCAAAGGTAAACTCTATGGAGAAGATAGGTGATGGAATAATATTTTTTTTTACAACAGAAATAAATTGATTACTTTTTTCTTATATTCCTTTTGATTAGCTGCTCCAAGTTCATTTCTTTACAGCTTATGCTGCCATGTTGAAATAAGTGTAGGGGCATATTTCACTAATTGGCATTTATCGGGTATTTGTATGTAGTCATATAAATTAGGTTTTCTGAGAACTCTGATCTTAATCCTTCCTATAATCACATTATGTGCTCTGAGAAGATCTAGTGGTTTTACTTAAACTACCAGGATTTATTGAATGTCAACTCTCTGCAACTAAATGTTCCCTCTTAATAAAAGAAGGCTTACTTCCATGAAGACAGAGCATTACCTGAGGCTAGTTTTTTATTCATTTTTGTTTTGTTTTGTTTTTCTGGCTTAGTAATGGAGTAATAACATTTAGAACCCTCATCCATACAGATGAATAAAATTTCCTTCTTAATGAAAGAAATGGAATATAAATCTTTCTTTCCTATCAGTGACAGTTAATTGAAAAGGCTCTGAGAACCAGCACAATGAGTAAGTGGCATAATAATTTTTATTCTTTTAGTTATTCTATGGGAGCTGAGGATCTTAATTATTTTCCTCCAAATTTCCCCCATAAATTATATCAGGAGGAAGGAAAAATAGTTTCATAATTGGTTCTTTAAGAAAAAAAACCCAAAACTGAAACACACAAACAAACCACATGTAACTAAGCAGATTTAACTTACAGTGCATTAAAATACTGCTTTATTAGTGTGTACTTTTTTGGGGGGAGACAGGGTAGTCACGAGTCGTGAGAAAGTTATGAAAGCTAGAGTTTATCTTTTATAGGATTTTTCAAATAAAGAACTTCTTTTTACTTATGTGCCCTTCTGGTGCTTTTTTATCAAAGATGACAGATTCACAGTGAGAGGGGGAAAAAGTCACAGTCTCTTTCTTGAGCAAAACAGTTTTTCTAGGCTTTTGTTGGTAGCCATGGAACCAGTAACTTGCTGATGACATGTCCTACCTCTCTCTCTTCCCTCTAGATCCATATTGGACCATAAAATGAGGATGGGGATATTTTTGGGTCTTGTTGTGGTGCATGTAGGTGTTAGAGGTTGGCTGGAGAGCAGGACCATTTTATGAAAATGTTATTGCCATTTAGGGCTTGAAGCATTGGTATGATTTAGTGTTCAACTTAGACCACTTGACATGCTGATATTGTTGGTGTCTGGTTAAGTGACTTGGTTAGAGCCCCATGCTAGAGCCAAGTCTTAGTTTTGATCTCCTGTTAGTTCTGTTGTGTTGCTTGCATTCAGGTCATACCTCTGTCTGTAGCCAGCCTTATTTTTCAGCTAAGATACCCAGAGAAAGAGTTGCTCTATCAGAACATATCTATTATCTCTCTAGGAAGACCAACTTTAGTTTGTTCTGTAAATGGTGTGGCAACAGCACCATCTTTGTATGGGAAAGCCAGCCTACTGGCTGATTACACTTTGATGAATGGCTGGGGTGTGTTTACATTTGCTGCTCATCAGAAGTGTCTTTTAATCACTGGTTTGGTTTCAGACTCCTGCTTTGAACTTGCTGTGGGAGAAGTGTTGCAGTGATAATGTGGTGGTTCGAACAGCCTGCTGTGAGGGTCTGGTGGCACTTGTTGCTCAGGATCATGCTGAATTCACCTATGTTCTCAATGGGATACTCAACCTGATTCCATCAACCAGGTACTCTCTCCTTCATGTTCGAGCAGTTAACAATTTAAATTCTTAGAAAAGAATTCACTGATTTGCCACTAAGGGCCAACATTCATTCACCTTGCTTGTCAGTTGTTTTTTTTCCTCTTAAAATGTCATGCAGTTGATGTTTCTCATGTGGAGAGAAATGCTAATTTAAACTCTGCAATTTTGGAATTTGTGCTCATTTGCTGTACTTTAGTTTTGGGGCTCTGCTTAAAAATTTATCATTACTTTTTAGGGAGAAAACAGCTGAGTAGTTTATAGTTACATAGTTTGGTATGACTCTATTTATTCCATTCACAGACCGAGGATAGTGGAATCACAAGGTGTAGAAGGGGCATATTCCATTCTGAGCTTCTCAAACACAACTGTATTGGAACCATCCTGTGGAAGTGAGCAGCTCTTGTAAAATGTTTCCTGGGAAGGAGATGCCACTCTTTCTTCAAAAAATGGTCCTGATTCATACCTCCTCAGATTTGCCTTCTTTAAATCATTTGGCCTTCTGCCTCCTTCTGCCTGCTCTTACCCCGTCCCCTGCCACCTCCTTGCAGGGTGGCTGTTCTCCCTGTGTTCTTCACTCCCCTTGGTTGGAGTCCATCACAGCTGAATAGTTCCACTTTTCTCTGCCTGCAGTGGAGGTGGTGCTGTAACTGTCAGTCAGGGGAAGATGCCTTCCTGGGCTTGCCCTCTAGCCTTTTAGCCTTTCTTCACAAATCTTAGATCATCAATTTGTATCTTTTCAGAATCTTGATTTTTCTTTATATGCTGCTATCTGTGGTTAGAAGTCCAAACCCTTAGCTGTGGTAAACACACCCTTCCCAAACTAGCCCAGCCTTCCATTCAACCTGCATTTCCTGCCACGAACCTTGCTCTGTACAGCTGTCCCCTCCTCCTGAGTCTGCCAGTGCTCTGCCTTTGCATGGAATGTTCCTTGCTTTCTCTTTTGGACATCATCTTCTTCATCCTTTAAGGCTTAGCTCAGATTTCACCTGCCCTGCCTTGATACTTTTCCCTTCTCCGTTGGGCTACTTGTTCTTTCACTTTTTCATTTGTTTGTTTAATCTGTATTTTCTTATCTAGCATACTCTTCAACAATTAGTAGGTGACCAAATATTTCTGAATCAGTAGGGATTTGATCATGGCTAAAAACTTACTCATTTTCTCTTTGTGTGCATGCCCACATATGTGCATACACACCCAAATGCTTTTAGAAGGTTCCTATTTTATACCCTTTAAAAATTAGTTTTGAGGAGGTTTTTAAAAAGTTAAGTTTTAATGTGTCTCTCTTTTTGTAATTTATTGGTTGACCAATCTTTGGCAACACTATCTAAATTTAGCCTTACCCCTTGTTTTTCAAATGCAGGTAATGGTGTTTGTTCCTCCCTAGTTTTCAAATGCCTTAAAATGCACAAACATAAAGTCTACTTGCATTGGGTAGTTTTGTGTTTTATTCATAAGTAAGACTATCAGCAGCCCTGGGGCCAGGGGGATGTCTGTTTATGTGATGGACGAGCAGGTTAGATTATACATTTAATTCCAGAAGATCATATTAGAGAATTGTGCTGGTGTGGGCTATCCTTCATACATTAGCATAAGTCCCTCATCACTATTGTAAACTGAAAAGCATAAGCTTTGCTAATAGTGAATCAGCATATCATCTGTATATTATGATTTATCAGTAACCTTAGACTTTAAAAAATTTAAAAATGTATTTTCTGAATAGGCAATATATTCACATGGTAAAGTGTCTGTCTTCTTTCTCAGTTTCTTTTTTCAGAGGTAAAACTCCTCCCAGGTCATCATATTTTAAAGATGCTAAATGTCCATATAACTGAAAATTTATGTGTGTATATTTTTTTTTAAGAAAAAAGAATAGCCCATTATATGTACTATTCTTTATTTTGCAGCTTTCAGTAAAAAACTATATGTTGGATCATTTCTTAACATACATAAAGTGTTTCCTTTTTTCCAGCTGCATAATATTCCACTGTATTAATGTGCTATAATTTACCAATTCCCTATTGTTTTCATTTATTTGCAGTTCAAGGTCATGCTGCAATGAGTAATCTTACACAGTAAGTGACCATTAGTTTTAAAGGGTGTTTTGATATAGAAGAAAGCTTTGAGTTGTATAGTGAGCAAATATAGGAATTTTAATGACTGAAGGATCCTGGAAAAAAATTCTTTTTAAAAAGTTTCTTATCTGAGAATGCTCAGTGTTGTCTAAATTGTTAACCGCAGGGAAATGGAGACAGAAGTGAACCAATTTAATTATTGAATCAATTTGATCATGAAATGTGTTATTTATAAATCCTCTTTATTGTTGCCAGGTTTAGTAATTATTTGTGAAGAATTTTCTTTATTTGCTTTATTTCAAGTAGCAGAGCTTTGTGGTTTGTAGTGATTACAGAGACTATCCTTTGCATTGCTTATGTCTTAAAGCAAATGAGAACCAAATTTGAGAAGTGAAATTAAAAACAGGAGACCCAAACAGCCTTCTCCAAGTGCTGCTCAGAGAATCTTCTGAGATAGAAAACCATCTTTTTCTTTGGGATCTAAAAGCAGGAATGACTGTGTCGCTGTTCTATGCTTCCTGGTTGAGACATTTTAGATCTCTAGTTTCCAGTATTTAAATTTCTACTTGTCTCTGGATTTCTCTTCTTAAAATAGAAATATTAGAATCTTCTGGGAACAGAACCACATGTTGATTACTCAGGTTTGATGTGAAACAACAATCCTAAAACATTGTCTTTTCATTTTGCCTTCCTACTAGCCTAGCAGACTTCAGAAAGAGAGAGAAAGAGAGAGAGAATATGAAAATGAACGAGAGACAGAGAAGCAGCCTTCTATAGATCGATATTTAGAGAATATAGCTTCTGAAGCTTTCTCAGCATTGCAGTAAATGTTGAAAGCTGTAAGGAAAGATGAAATGAAAAGCTAGTGAGGTCATCTCTTCTAGCCTTATAACCTGTCCTTGGCCCTTTGCAGATCTAATCTATAAAATTCCCTTGGAACATATATGGAAGGGCCCCTGCTCCAACTCCAACCCCCCGTTTGAGAAACTGATCTAGAGCTGGCTGCATGGTATAGTCTAGCTCTGAAAACGGCTTGACATTTGCAAGGCTCTGGTTGTCTAAACTTCAGGGAGTGGCTGGGAAAGTGCCTGGCTCTTTTGAGACACTGTTTCCTTCAAAGGAACAGTTTGATGTCTAAGAGTGTTCTTGGTTCAAAGCTGAGGCAACATGAAACAATTGTAAACTAGTTTTTATAGTTTCTGTAAACAAAGAAATGGATTTAAGAGGTCTAAAATGTTCTTCTAATAAGTAGGGACATTGGAAAAAAAATTATTCCCTACGGAGGGTGAAGGAAAGAAGGGGACCACAAAGGGAACAGTAAGGAAGTTATTATCACCAGTTAAATATGAGTTTTGAAATAAAAACTGAAAATTAAAGTGAATATTACATACTAGCATGTGTTTTTCTTGTCCTTTAAGGAATTGTCTGTTTTAAGTTTAGATTGTGTTTAGTTTTGTTTATTTTTATTTTTACATTAAATTTATCCTGAGATAAGATTCCTAAAACAAGAAGTTTGCCTGTTTTTCTTTCCTTAGATTTCTCCCCGCTCTTTACTGCGCTGGCTTCTAGAAAGCTCATGCAGCCATTGTTACAGTTGCTTAGTAACGGGATTGTGAATAAAAACCCGTACTCTCCTGTGGAACCAGGTATTCAGTTTTCTATACTGAGATGTCATGACAGCCTGTAATTTCAGTTCATCTGCTTCCCCAATTGCCCCCTGCCCCCCTTCTTTTAAAACCCTGTTTGGTAGGACGGTTATGCTCTAAATAAACTAGCTTAACACTTGATTTGTGTGCCTTTTGTGCTTTCAAACACAGGGAGGGACCTCCAGTTGATATATTTGGGGAAAATAAAGCATGTTAAGGTGTGAGAGAGTAAACAGTATTTTCTGACATCCGTAAAGTCTGCTTTTTAACGAAATCTTGCATAGGATATTAAAAATGCCTTAGCGGTCCTGTCTAAAGCTGTTGGATTCAGCGAGTCTTTGATTACAGATTGATCAAGGTCCAGTTGGGTTTAAATGATTCTGGGAACTATTTGAAGTAAAGATTTAGGGTAATCTAATAAGGAAATTTTTGTCTCTCAGCGTCTTCATTTTTATTGATGATCCCGTTCCTTGAGAAACTTAATTGCTTTATTATCAGGTAGGAAATGGTTAGCAACTGAGGAGACATTGTAATCATATCTTTTATTATTGAAGCTTTTCTATATAGTTAGCTTCTTTCTCCTTATTTTATGTGGAAGGAAAAGTAGAACCAAAGAAGGGTGCTTTGTGAGGTTTCCCCGAGGTTTAAGGAAGACAATCTTAGCATGCTTTCATCTGTAACTGGAGTGTCAGAGATTTTTCACAAATTTGTGATAGTGTCAGCATTTGTTAATATCTGCCTAGGTATCATTGCTCATTTAGCCCTTATCTGAGAGTGCTAGAGTTGCTGGACCATGTCTATTTCCCCATCTTGTCTTTTAAATATTCCTTGTAGCCATTTAGCTTGTTTCCAGATGTTCTCCTTTAATTTTTTCCAATCCTTTTTCTTTCTCTAAAATCCCGGAATCTCTCTCAACATGCAGCTCATAACCAGAAAAGTGATTCCAGCCACTTTTCTCGTCTGGGACATTCTGCCCTATTTCTTTCTAAGTCAGTTGATCTGGTTGGAGGCTTTGTTTGTCACAAAATCTTCCTTTGTAAGAGTCATGTGTTTAAGCTAAGATGTTTCTAGGTGATACAAGAGAACTAACTCCTGAAACACATGTTATTTTTATAATGGAAAATGTTTCAGAAGAAGTCAGGCTGTTCTCTGGTATTTAGAAAACAAATGAGTCTGTGCAACTTTCTAAGCAAAACCTTAATAGCATTGTATCTGTTAGATTCTTTTTTTTTATTATTCGTTTGATCTTTTTTTTTTGAGAGGGCAT